GAAAAAATTGTTTTTATCATCTCTGAACAAAGATGTTCGTTTACCTTTATAGTTCCATATTAGGAAGAGTTCAAAGAGTATTTTGATCTATGAAATTTCGAGATCGTAAAAGTTAAAGTGCATGTACAAAACTTCCAACAATGCCCGTCGACTCTCTATAAATGTTTTCCCTTTGAATTCATATCAAAATTCTCAAAAATTGTGTATTTAGAGAAGGTATGCATTTATAGATTAGATCATATAATTTTGGGATTGAACTAAAGTGTGCATTTAAGAAGAATTTACATAGTTCATGCATTTATCGATTCGAATTAAACATTTTAAATATATCTGATTACAATAGTGAGGGGAAACTGCCGAGCAAAAGTAATGCTCTGAAAAAACATATAATGTAAATTTGCATATGCCCATTATATTATAAATACTGTAAGTTGACTTTATTCAAAAAAAAAAATTTGAATTTTTTTTTTTATCGATTTTATTTAAAAGATGATATCTTCAAGAATTACTTTATATGTTACTAAAATAATTTGAGAATATAATTAGAAAAATTAAAAAAAAAAATGTTTCTCCTTAAGAATCATTCCAGGGTTCTTTCGAGTTGTTCCTGTAGAACGTTACTACAAACGCCACAACAACTGGTTCGTGACCAGTTACGCGTCTGGTACAGAGCCTCTCTCGTTCGATAAATCACATGAAAGGTGCTTAAACATCAAGGAAATGTTTTAGCATAATCATCCTAAAAACTCTTATTATTTCCTCAATTGGAAGCTCATTTGACTTATAGGATAAAAACCATATCAGGAAAAGTGAAAGTTAGTAATTCTTATTCCATTGTGATGACAAGTTGCTTAATCTGATTTCCTGTTTTCCTCGTTCATGATACCTCTCGTGAGAAGTTATGCATTTCCCTTTCTAAATGAATAAATTTAAAAAGGGTTACAATTCTCGATTAAAAATTCGCATTAGATAGCTTAACATTTAATTTATGCGGAGAATAAAACTTTTTAAGATCACACAATTAAGTGAGAAGAATATCAGGTACTGAAGAACAATCATCGTTGATTCTGCAACTTTTAATCATTCATATGAACGTACATTGAAAGGTTTTCCTTAAGAAAAGATGTTTCATCATTTTTTTTTTTCTCCGTGATGACATAATGGATCGACGAACATTATCTAATCTTTTTTTAACAGATCGACAACCAAATGATATTGTTTTCCATTGTTTTTCCATTGTGTGCGATTTTTTTTTTTTTTCATTTGGACTTTCTAAAATTCGATAATATATTGTGATTGGTTGATCAATTGTTAATTGAAATTTAATAATTTCAATCATCTCTTAAAACGTTCGTATTTACTGCACCCATCTTAACAAATTTGGATAAATTATACAAGGCGTGAATTCGCGTGAAAATTTCTGTAACGCAAAAAGTTTACCCGAGGTTGACTCGGGTCTCACTTTTTTTTTTTGGAACAGTCTATTTATATCAAATCAAATGCTAAAAACCAAAAATATCTCTGATAAAAATTGATTGGAACTGCGTCACAAGAATTACATTCAAACAATGTATGTAAGCTCGGACCTCCGGAGTTTATTGTATGGAAGGTTGATACGGAAAAGGCATACCGTTTCGCAATGATGATGAATTTAACCAAAAATTGATTCCTGCAATAGGATGATGGAGACGAGAATGCAAAGAGGCTTTTTATTTTATTTACAATGTATGTTGCAAACGCTTTTTGTGTTTGTTTTTTATTCAGGAAAAAAAAAAAAATAATAATAATTATTGTTTAACAAGAAAACTAATAATTAATAAGTAATGATGCATTTTAGTTTTCCTTATATTGTTCCATTGTATATTCCGCATTTGTGTATTAAGTAAATTCGGACGGATAAAGAATGATCGATATAAAAAAAAACAATATTTTTATATAAATAAATACATTAACAGTCAATTTAGATTTTTTTTTTTTTTCTTTTCTTTCTTTTTTCAAAAAACTTTTTTTTTTTTTATTTTTTTTTAAAAAAAAAAAAATTTATATTTGATATGAATTGTTTAGAAAATATTTTATTGCAGTTAAAAGATGATTTATGCTCACTTCATTCGTGTCTTCTCGTTAATCGAGATTGGTGTCGACTCGTTATTCCATTATTATGGAGTCAACCTTTTGAATTGTCTAAAGAAACATCATCGCATAAAATCGTGAGGACGTATATATCATGTTTACCAAAAGAATCCAAAAAACGATTTAGGATTGGAGGAATCAAATTACCCGACTTTACGACGACATTATTTGATTACCCAATATTTTTACAAAAGTTTGATACACAAAAATTTTGTCAAGCCCTAAATAAATGCTTACAACATAATTCACCACAATATTTCTATGCGACTAAATCAAGAAATAAATTTAATCAAATGCTTATAAAACAAATTAAATTATTTAAAGGTTTTTATATCATAAACCCAAAGAATAATCTTGATAAAGCTATAAATAAATGCTTTAAACCTCTCTTAAAAAAGTATTATTCAACAAACCCGAGTTCTTGCATGGCGAAAGAAATCTTATATTTATTATTTAATGAAAGTGATTCCCTAAAATATCTGATCATTAATAGTTGTTTGGACAATAAATACAAAATGGACATAAGGTTACATTTATTCACTCAAGGACATCATAATTCTTTAAAGAACCTTCATACCTTGGAAATTGATTTGGTAAAGAGATTGAGGTATAATAGGGATTGGAAAAGGGAAGATATTCTTTTAACTGAACTCTTAAATAAAATGTCACAATTTGCCATTCACTTGAAAGAGATTAGAATCGAAATACCGAGGGATCTTCGGAATCCTTGGGAAGAACAACATTTAACGTCAAGGTTTCATCGAAGTTTATGTAAATTAATCGAATCACAAATAGGTCTGCGGAGGTTTAAATCGAATTATTATTGGGATCAATCAGAAATTTCCTTGTACAAGTCATTAATACGTCAATCTCATTCTTTATCCCATTTAACCCTTATGGAATTAATACGCTCTGATTATTACCTTAGAGATGGTTTGGCTGCGTGGAAAAATCTAAAGACGTTAGAACTATTGGGTGGGTCAGACTTCCTCACCCCATCAGACATTGAATTGGATCAGTTATCAATCGTCAATTTACTCGTTGGTCACAATTATGAACCCGATCCATTGATTCCGAAGATCCTTAAAGCGACTAATATTAATCTAAGAAGGCTCATTTTAGATGGAAGTTCAAATCCGATAATTTTTGATACCATTAAGACGTCATGTTCACAGATAACTCATTTGTCAATCTCATTCTTATTAGATAATTATAATTATATCATCTCTTTGCTTTCCAACTTACTTTCCAATTTACATCAATTAAAATATTTAAATCTATCAAGTAGAGAAATTAATCACACATCCATCATATTTGAATCTTTATTAAAATTATCAAAATCATTACCTTTATATTTACAACATCTTGTATTGGAATTTAATATGCATTACTTAAGTTTAGATTATTTTTTAAAACAATGTCATCATTTAATAATTTTAGACATAATTTATAATAATAGTAAAAATATTAAAGATGAATTATTTTTTACTTTAATACAATATAAAAAAGATAATACTAATTGCAAAAAAATTAGATTTTTTAGTTCTTCCAGTTTAGATTTAGATTCTTTAGATAATGCATCCGAATTTATTACTTTTGTTCAGGAGAAAAATCCAAACTTTAACATTCATGTTTGGTAACAATAAATCTATTTTTAAGTGCGTGAATGACACGATTTCACAACATATCTGCAATATAATGTCGAATGAAAATGTTCGCATTGAACGACTATGGATGTCGTATGCCCCTTATATTGCACGAATAAAAACAATAAAAACAATAAAACAATAGAAATATAATTTTTTTTTTTTTTTTTTTCCACCAAACTTCTTTTTGCTCCTTATTACTACTAATAATTTTTAATAAAATCATGAATAAATTATTAATTTTGCTTCTTACGGTTTTCTTCATTCTAAGTAACGTTACGGAATCTTCGGTGTTAAAAAAAAGACATGGTCCGTTTACAGCTTGTGCCGGACAATACCCCAATACAGTTAGCATTACACTTTCTCCAAACAAATTAGTTTATGGTCAACATGCAACTATTACACTTGTGGGGACTAGCAAGGTGCCAATTTATCAAGGAGCTCAGTATGAAATAGCGATCGATCGAGATGATAATACAAGCATCATGAATGCTTCTTTTGATCTTTGTGCTTCTGTTGGAACTAATTGTCCCTTACCTGCTGGAAATAATGTGATCAGCTTATCATTTCCGATGCCTCTTGTTTCTCCAGTAGCTCAAGATGGAAAGAATTATTATTATTCCATGGCTTTTTCAAGTAATTCTTTTATATTTTATTATCATTTATTTGAGAAAAAACAATAATTATATTTCGTTTTACTAATTTTTAATGTCTCGTCTTTTTTAGTCAAAAATGCTGATCAGACTTACTTATCTTGTGTTCTTGGTTATGTTGATTTTGCTTAATATTATTTTATATATACTGTAATAATAATATAATTTTTTTATAAAAACAAAAGAATCACTAATAAAAGATATTTTACATTGTGCCACCCACTTCAATTAAAAATATTTCAGGGATTCGTTCTCTTAGAATTTTCAAAATAAATAAAATGTGATGTTTTGCTTTTTTTTGTTTCAAATTTTCACGAGTTTTTTTATTGATAAAGGGGTAACGTAATATATTCCATTGAATGACATCATCACTTATTTGTTTTTCCCAAAAATAACTTTTTCGTTAATATAAAAGAGGTAAATCATTACTGAATGTATTAATCGCATAATAATTTCGCTAGTCCAATGATCGTTAACCTGAAAATTATGTAAAACGACATATAATTTCTTTGCGCGCACTTTTTTTTTTTTTAGATTTCCCCCGTCAATTTTTTTTTTTTCCCCAAAAACCATGACGTTCTTTACGCAAAAAGTTTGGGTAGAATGGATAGAGCAAGCATTAGCGAATGGAGAATATAATTATCAAGATTATAAAAGTCTTTCGGACATCGAACAAATCGGATCAAGTAAAGTTTACAAAGCTCTCATGAAAAAGGATGACGCTGAAATTATGGTCTCTATGAAGTTCATTGGAAATAAATTATCCACAAGAGAAGTTGTATCTGAGGTATTTAATTCGATCGAATTTGGGGTGAGATACTATCTTCTAAATTTTTAAATTTATAAATATAAATTCTTCCTCGAACAATTAGCTCAAATTATTAAGGAAGATTCATCTTTTTAATAACGAAAATATTTCAAAATTTTACGGCGTTACCAAATCAGAAAATAGTGGTAAGCGAGATTTACGTCAAATTACCTCTGGATTCTTATTATTATTTCATCCACATGTTAGGCTAATTTGAAATCATTGACTATATTAGATAAAAAAGTTACTGATCCATTAAAATATATGGTAATATTAGAGTACGGTGATGGGGGATCCTTGAGGGAGTACTTGCAAAATAATTCGGAAAATTTACTATGGGCCGTTAGATTAAAATTTGCAAAACAACTTTGTAATGGCATCTCATTTTTACATGAAAATAACATAATTCATAGAAACTTGGTAAGTAATTGTAATTTTTTTATTTTTTCTAAAAAGAAAAAAGAAAAAAAAAATGTTTCTGTTAATATTTTTAATATATATATATATATATTTATTTATATATGTTTTTATTTTGTTTGATTTTTTTTTTCATTTCTTCATTTTTATTTCATTTTTTTTTCTTTTTTTGTTATAGCATTCTAACAATATAATCATCAATCAACACAATTTAAAATTAAAAGCATTAGGGATTACATGTAAGATGTCAGAATCATCAAATGTATCAGCAAATTTACAGAATTTTTTGGCTTACGTTGATCCACAATATTTTAATATACCAAGTTATAAGAGTAGCGGGGATAAACAAGCAATGTTAACAAAAAAATCCGATGTTTATAGTTTGGGAGTTCTTTTGTGGGAATTAACTTCTGGATATCTGCCATTTAGCTTGGAAGAACATTCAGACTTACAAAAAGTGATCATGGAAGGACTTCGCGAGAAAGATATGGATGGAATCGATAAAGATTATATCGAAATTTATAAAAGTAATTCTGAAAGATTTTTTTAAAAAGGGTCAAATTTTTAATTTCGTCTTACTTGTTGTTCAAACAAAATCTTATTCTCTATTCTTCTTTAGAATGCTGGCAGTCTGATCCCAATGATCGACCCGAGATTCAGGAAGTTGTATCAGCGATTGAGAAAATTGATGGTGGTATAGATCCATCGACGGTGCAGGATGTTAAAACTACTAAACAAAGGAGAAGATTTACGATTACTGTAGAACCTCCCACCCCAGCTCCACCTGCTCCTACCGTCAAAAAACCAGTAAAATCCTCCCCTATAATTAATAAACCAATTAATCCAGCGCCACCGACAGCATCTCCAAAAATCGCAAATAAAAAATCAAATTCTACATTAATGGTCCCTAATACGAGATCGAGGTCAAAAAGTCCATCGAGATCGCGTTCTAAAAGTCCAATGGCAAGGAATAAAAGTCCTGCACGTCCGGAAATTAAGGTAATTAAGGAAGAGGAGGAAGAAGGTGTCACGACGATCAAAAGCACAGCAAACAAAATAGAAAGTCCTGTACGTCCGGAAATTAAGGTAATTAAGGAAGAAGGTACCACTACGACCGCAAGCACGACAAACAAAGTAGAAAGTCCTGTTACTGTTAAATCCGAAAATTCAGCGGTATCGGCAATCATGATACAAAACGAGAATTTAACGAGAACCAAAAGTCCCACTTCTAGATCAAAATCTCCACTTAACACTTTAATAATATCAGAAAGTCCTAGATCATTGAGTCCGGTGAGTTCACTTGACTCAGTGGAGGAACAACCGTTAACTAGACGATCGAGGCCTAAAAGCAAAAGTCCGTTGAGAAAGAGATCACTTAGTCCTTTAGAAGAAGGTAAACCTAGACAATCAAGACCTAAATCCAAAAGTCCGTTGAGAATACTGACTAGGGCAAAGAGTCCCGATTTTGCAACAGCAAGACCAAGGCTTCCCAAAAGGTCGGCCTCCGTTTCAATACCAAAAGGAACCCCAAGACTCCCTCGAAGAACTCAAACGATGATGCCACAACCCTCGCCAAAAATTGTATCGCCGCCTCGCTCTATAAGTCCTCCAAAAAAAGTGGCATATAAACCAGTCCAACGTAGATATTCCACGAGTTACATAAATTCTTCAATGCAAATCAATGCTCAAAGTACTATGGCAGGATTATGGTCAAATTCTGCTGATCGAACTAGGGAAGATCCAACAAAAAAGATCGTGGATGAATTATTATCTTTATTTATGGAAAATTATGAGATTGACTCAGGACATGCATTATTAAAAGCTATTCAAAAATATCTTGAAAATCAAAAAGAAACAACAACTGAGATATTTGATTGGCTTTTGAGAACGCAATTAAGTTTACAATATAAAATTCTTTTGGGATATTTTTATTTGAATGGTATTGGGACGCTTATAGAGAATAGGAAAGCTTTTGTATTATTTTTGAGTGCGGCAAAGAAACAATACGCTATCGCTCAAGATTTGTTGGGTTATTGTTATTTAAATGGAAAAGGTACTGTGAAAGATGAAACCTTGGCCTTCGAATGGTATTCAAAAGCTGCAGCTAATGGAAGCGTTACAGCTTTTCAAAGTTTGGGAGAATGTTATCATGATGGTCGTGGCACCATAAAAAACAAAAGCAAAGCATTGCAATATTTTAAATTGGCAAGTGATGGAGGTAACGTTTGTGGTAGGAACATGTTGGCCTTTTGTTTTGAAATGGGATTGGGCGTTGGTTCCGATCATAGAAAAGCCTTTTCTTTATATAAACAAGCGGCTGATGCTGGGTATAAGTTGGCGAAGCAGAATATAGCCAAATGTTATCAAAAAGGGATAGGGGTGACAGCGGATTCTGAAGCTGCCGCTTATTGGTTAGAGAAAGCTAATCAGGAATAATATTTATAATAATTATTTATTGTAATTATAAAAAAAAGTATTTATTAATATTTAAAAGATTGGCTTTTAGATTGACACTTAATTTGCATCTAACATAATTTGTGATATATCCCATTTATATATAAGAAACCATTGTTATGTTGTACTCATTTTTTTTTTCTTTATAAATATATAAATAAAAAAGAAATAAAAAGATAAAGATTGGTATTTTTGTAATTAAATGATTAAATCTAAATTGCGTGAAAGTTATTAGCCACATTCGGACTCAACATTAATTTGTGTAACGATGGATGTTCGGTAACGAATTCAAGTCTAATCATTATATGAATAATATATATATTTTTTTTTAATTTAAATTTTTTTTTATGTCGTCGGAAAATTCAATTTGATCATGTCAACGTGTGTCGCATGATATAACAATACACGTTGGAGTTATTCCATACAAAGGTTTACAAAACGAAGTAAACGTGAAAAAACGTTAAATTAAATTTATTCTTAATTTACAATATAGAAGGAAAAGGTAATCCACATACAAAAAAATTCAAGGGGGAGAGGTTTTTTTTTACAAAAGGTAAAAGGCATCGTCATACAAATATAAATCCGAAATGGAAACTCTATTTCTATATTCACACGTACAAACGCTTTAAGAAAAGCTTTTTGCATGATAAATAAAAAAAAGAAAAGAAAAGTATCTCATTTATTTGGATGTGCCCTTTGAAAAACAGGCTGAATATTTATGGATTCAAAAGATGTGTTGAAATCATCATCTAGATAGAATAGATATTAAATAATCACGCGAAAATTCAATTCACTTTCTTTTTTTTTTTTCGAATCGCTTACATTTTAAGGCTGGGACTTCTTCAGTATAACCAGTTTTTTGACGATGACGACATTTTTTTCGAAGAATGATGTAGGCAATAATTCCAAGAATCAGTACGCTAACAACGGTAATTACAATTATACAAGTTACTCCACATTTTTTTAGAATGCCATCATCATTATATGCTGCCTCTTTTGCAAAAATGTCTCGAACAAGGAAGAATAATAATATGTAGGAAAGGTACGAAAGGATGAATCGAATTCGAGAAATTGATGTCATTGTTTCATTTCAAATCGACAAGAAAAAAAAAATTTTTATTTTAAAAAAAAAACGAACTTTTTTTAACATGTATCATGTTCAAAAGGAAAGTTTTTTTCTTTATTTTTATATACAAAAGTGGGAAAAGGCTTAGCATACCGTAAATATTTGATTGTGCTTTCGTGCTATTTTATGATATTTTTTACCATGGCTTGTGATCTTTTACCGTCTTTATTAAATTCTTTATTATTATTATTATTATTATTATTATTATTATTTCTTACAAGAAAATCATCAAGAAAAAAAAAATGAGACTTCGCCACAACAATTCCTTATTTTTTTTGTTTTTCTTTGTTTTATTAATTTATTTTTTAACCTACTCTTTTTTGCAGTAACCGAAACAAAAATGCAGCAAAATTGACCAATGAAGTTATTATCGCTGCGTCATGTATCACACTCGATAAATTATAAATAACTTCGGCTTTTTTTGTACTTGCAAAAAGAAAAAAAATAAACCCCCTCAATTTCCTTTTCGTTTTAAAAAAAAAAAAAAAAAAAAAAAAAAAAAAAAGGAAATAAATATAATAAATAAAATAAAAATAAAACGTTAAAAAAACAAAAATAAAAAAAATCGAGTTTCAGACAAATGAATCCAATTTCTACGGAAAGCAATGAGAAAAGGTTACTACATAGGTCAACTAAAAATAAATTAAAAATAAAATTAGTTGAATCGACAATCATTTTACATGGATCACCTGAAGAATCATTAGGTTGTTTTTTGAGAGGTGAATTGATTTTAAATTTAGCTAAACTAACAAAAATCAAAAGACTTGAATTGAAATTTCTTGGAAAAATCAAATTATTCATTCCACATACAACCGGAGAAATAGCAGCGAGTAATAATTATATAGAAAAGGAAGTAATTTCTCACAATTGGACATTTCTTGATCAACCACAAGATTTAATCAATAATGAAGATGATGATTCGTCCGTTCACAATAATAAAAGTCTTACATCAAGATTATTTCATTCACTTTCGAAATCTTCAACTTCAAAGAAATCATTCAAATATCATCATGTATTATCAAAAGGAATTCATACTTTTCCTTTTGAATTATTTCTTCCTGGTACACTTCCTGAATCCATTAACACAAATATTGGAAAGATCAATTATAAAGTAACGGCAAAAGTTACCAAATCCGGAATCTTTTCAAGAATACGGAAATCGCAATATGTCACCATATTACGCACCATATCGGATGAGTGGAATCAAGGAAAAGTCGTTTCAAATGATTGGAATGATCTTTGCAGATATGAGATTTCATTTCTAAAGAAAGCGTTTCCTATTGGTGATTGTGTGAAAATAGATTTGAAATTGATGCCTAAAGATAAGGTTAAATTAGACCTTCAATATGTTCATATAGATTTGGTTGAGAGATCCGTTTATAATATAACATCTGATTCACAACAAAGTTTGCAGGAAAGCACAATCTGCGGAATCAAAATCAATGATTTTATAAAAGAATGGATTGAAAAAGATTCTAATAATTTAAGTTCTCATATATTTAATTATGACAAAAATGATTTTCAACAACAAAACGAGGATGTAGAGGGGATGGATGAATCATTAGAACTATGTTATCACGAAACGATTTCCTTTAGAATACCAAATTTACCTTATATCATTCATCCTTCTTATACTTCGGATCCAATTACAATCTCTCATGAATTAAGGTTCTTATTTAATATCAAGGTTCATGGTAAAAATCAATCCAAAATAAAAAAATTTAAACTTATCATCCCGATTATAATTTTATCTGCTATATGTAAGGATGATGTTTTACCTTTATATGATGATAGCGATAATGATTCTTTAATTTCGAAAAATTCTTGGGATGAAATCTCTTTGGATGATATTTCTTCACCTCCTAGTTATGAATCTTCGGTTAGCGATGGTCGAAATGGTAGTTTTGTGAACTGTGAGGTTTACAATGATGACGATAAAAAGTGAATCTTAAATGGTGATGATGTGATTTTGATTTTATTTTTATTTTTATTTTTCTCTCTTATTTTGTTCTAATCATTAATAATTGTACAAAAAAAAAAAAAATCTTATATAAATAATTTTGTTTAAAATAAAATTTAAATTAAGTTTGTAGTTTTGTTTAGTTATTAATTTCACTCCTTTCGGCAGAAGCTTTCTGTACTGCGTCCAAAGTTGCCATTATTTCATCAAACCTTTCTAATTGTGAAGCCTTATATAAATCACTCATATTATTAGTTTCGTTATCCGAAATTTTATATTGTGATTTTAGAACATCTAATTCATCTGTTAAAGCGTTTATTATTCCTGAATCTCTCTGACTTTCTTTCATTTCAACTGACGTTCCCACTTGATCTAATAGCAAAGTTATTTTGTTTTCTGAATAATGTAACTTATTGCCTAATTCAACATTGTCATTTTGAAGTTGATTGATTTGTTGTTCAAAGTATTCTTTCTGTGCCTTCCATTTGTGTTGTTCATTCACAAGGTGTTCACGATTTATTGCGGAAAATCGTTTTTCATTTATGTGACCATTATTTTTTAAAGCTTCATCAAGTTGTTGATTTAAAAGTTCATTTAGTGATAAAGTTTCTTCTAATTCATCTTTCAGCACTTTAACTTCTTTACTGGCTCTGGAGAATTGTTCTTTTAGTGAATCACCAGTTTGACGTAAAAATTTATACTCTTTACGTATGTGATCATATTCCTTTTTCAAGGCTTCATACGATTGATCAGACATAGATTTCTCCTCGTTAGCATGTTCAACTTGTTTACTTAATTCGGAAATCTTTTTTTCCATCTCTTCCTTTTCCTTTAAAAATTCTTCGCGTTGTATAATTATTTGTTTAATATTTGCAAATTCTTGCCTTGAAGCACGATAACCATTTTGTAGTGACATTTGGTTCTCAAGTTCAGTAATTTTATCTTCTAAATCTTCATTTTGATGTTGTGCGGTTGATAATTGTTGCTTTAACTTTGAACTTTCTGATTTATTCTTTGTTAATTCATCTTTCATTCTCCTCAACATTTTTTCGGTTCCTTTAACGTAATGCGTGGCGGTCTTATAATCCGTATCTAATTGTTTCAATTTTTGCCTAGCGACGTCAAGCTGTCGTTGAGTCTCATTTAACTGCTTCTCGGTAACTCTCAATTTATCCTCTAATGCTAAAGTACTTAAAATGTTCGATGTTAAGCTCTTTGACCCTCGTTCTGCATCATTGGCTTTATGTAATGCATTCTTATATTTTGCAAGTTCTGCTTGTGCTTTAGCGTGCATATTCTCTAATTCCTTGCAACGTGCTTCTATTTCTCTAAATTGCATTGGCGTTGACTCTTGTTGACTTCCTGATAGGTTACCGAATAATATTCCTCTTTCGGTCATGACATCACGCATCATTCCAGCTTTAATTTCAGAATCTTCAAGAGCAAGAGCCTTTTCGTCCAAGATTCGTTCTTTCTCCCTTAAACGCACCTTTATCTTCATAATTTCATCATTGCTTTCTCCCAACCTACGTTGTAATTGCGCAGATTCTGAACGAGCTTTCATGGCGGACGATTCTAATTGCATAATTTTAACCTTGGCATCCGATAACTCGGTTGAGGCATCATTAGCAAACCTCTGTGTCTCAGCATGTATTATTTTAAGTTCGGAAAGTTCTTGTTCAACAAGTTGAAGTTTATCCGTAACATTTACGTAATCACTTATGTCTGAATTCGATTTTGAGGAATTATCCAATAAATTGATCATCCCTTCTTGTATGGTTGCTCTCATCGTATCGTTTTCTTTGTGCGCTTTATCTAGTAACCTTTCCATGTCAATGGCTCTTGCTTTTGAACGATCTAAATCTTTCATTTTAACATCAAGTTCAGCGCGCAGACTCGCGGCTTCTTTTTCTAATATCTGAATTTCTTGCAATGACTGTTTCCATAACTTTTCAAATTCATTCGCTCTTTCATTAGCGACTTTAAGAGCGTTATTTGCTTTTTCAAGCGCTCGTTGATGTTGTTCGACGGACTGCTGAGATTTATTTAATTGTGACAGAATGCTATCATTTCCTGAACGGTATTGCGTTAAATCTGCTGAGGTTTCAGTTAATTTCGTTCTCGTCTCTCTTAGTAAAGTTTCGGCTGTGGTAGCACGAGAATGTAGAGTTGCGAGATCTGATAAAGCACGTGCATGGGCTTCTTCGGCTTCTTCAGCACGAATTGTAGCGACTTTCGTTTGTTCCTCAGCTGATTGCCTGATAGCGGTTTCATAATTTAACCTCTGCTGTGATTGCGTGTATTTATTCTGTATACCTTCTTTCTCAGTTAATGCTTGCGTTAAACGTTTTTCAAGATCTTTAGCACGCTTTACTTCAATGCTTGCTAACTTTGATTCTGATGAATTCATTATAGCTGTCAATTTTGCTTTGAAATATGCTGCTTCTTGTAATGCAGCAGTACGCGCTCGTTCGGATTCTGTAATTTTTTGAGATGAAATTTGAGCTTGATTTGCTACAAGCACTTTTGATTTCATTATTTCTTGTTTGAATTTCATAATGGTTTCCAATATTTGATGTTTTTCAGAAGTTAATTCTTCCATATCCAATAAATGTTCAATATCAATATCATCAGGCGGAGAATTATCGATATCGCTACCCGGGGTATACCCGGATTTTCTAGCTAAAGTCAATTCAGTTCTAAACCACATTTCACGCCTTTTAAACGCAGCTAAAATTTGATCGCGCTGTTGTAATTCGCGCATCAAATCGTCACGTTCGATTCGTGCCGGAGAATGATCAACGGTATCGGAGACTTCAAAGGGACTATTCGTGATGGTTGACGACAAAGAATTCCCTTCTTCATAAGACATCGGACTTGGAGGCATCGTATTAACGTTTATGGACGCTGGTGATGACAACCCTCCGGTATTATTTCCTTTATCGCTCGACAAACCGCTATATGGTGCCGATTTACTTTGATTATCCACGTTATTCATATTTGGGTTAGGAGGTCGAGGAGCTTGACGTGGGTTTTCAAATTGCTTCTTGGCACCTCCTTGTTTCTGAAGATTATTATCATTATTTTGTTGTTGATTTGGGATTTCATCGATCACATTAGCAAGTGGGGAAGGCGTTTTCTTTCGAAGACTTTCAGCGTTTCCGTATTGTGAACGTGATTGGGGCGAAGTTGAACGTTCCATATAAATTATCTGTTCGGGAGGGTTTCCCTTTGAATTTGACATTGCAATTGCGTTAACGTCATAAGCGGACATTCCTCTTGGAGACGGTGTTTCCTGAAGTGCGGGACTTTTTGGATATCCTTGTTGAGTTAGTAACGTATTTTGATAATGAGGCTGCGGGCTTCTCCTTGTTGGAATTTGTTGTTGTAATTGCTGTTGCTGTAAAGGAATGTGACCAGGAGGTATTGAAGAATTCATTCCTCCTCCCGTGTTTTCTGGTGGCATCCGCGGAGAACCATAAGGACTTATTGAACGAGAAGGTTGTTCATCTTCACTACGTGAATTTGAAATTGAACTTTGTCTTGATGTGGGAAATATATGCTTCAGTCGCATACTTCCATTATTATCAATTAGATTTGGAGCAAGTTCTTTAGGCGATAATTTTTGAGCTTGTGGAAAATTTTGTTTTCTTTGCGATCCCTGTTGTATTTGCTGCGGAATCGCCTGTTGTGATACCGATGGGTATTTTATCTTTGCTAGGGGAAAAAAAAATAAAATAAAATAAAATTCAATAAATAAATACATAAATAAATAAATCAATTAATTTAATTACCGATATTTACATGTATCGAGTACGTGTATTATTCCTTCTTCATCAGGTTTAGGTGAGCTTATAGACTCACCACCAAGTACTAAAATTTTATCCCCCGCAGCAGTCATCGTATGTCGAGATCGCGAGGATGGGGCAGGTCCCATTTTTTGAAACATAAACCATCTTTGATCACTTATTCGAAAGGCTAATCATAAACAGAACAAATAAATAAATATATATATAAAAAATTAAAAATTCGAACAAATTGCTATAGTAAAAATTTTTTTTTTTTTACCAGCCAAATCGCCTTGTTCTTTTTTCTCATAAGTTTTACCACCAAAAATATATATTATATCATTAACCATGGTGGAACCATGATCATGACGTGGGAGTGGAAAATATCCGGTACATAATAATTCTGTCCATGTGTTGTTCCAAGTGTCATAACACCATGTATCATTATAGCATTGTTTTTCATCGATTCCACCAAATCTTGATTCAATAAATCAAATAAATATTTAGCAATTTTTTTTTTTTTTTTTTTTTTTTTTAAGAGAAATTGAACTTTTCTTTACGGAAACATACATGTAAAATTTTTCTTTATATGCATATGAAATATGTCCGGAACGACCGTGTGGGGATTGATCACGTGGGATAATAACATCCCATTGTCCTGTTAATAATAATAAATTTTAAATTTTAAAGAAAAATTTGAATTACAGGGAGATATTAAAAAAACGAAAGTTTGTTTAAGATTAAAATTATCATTTCTTCTTACGAGATTTTATGTCAAAAGAAATTAAATCGTTCAAGTATTTTCCTTCACGTTGGCCACCAAAGATATACATTTTTCCTCCGATAATGGTCGCCGAGTGTCCATGACGTGATAATGGAGGATTTTCATGTTCGGAAACGCTCCATACCTTTGATGCTGCGGTGATTTTAAATAATAGTATATCAAAAGATATGCATGCGTATTGTTTATATTCGGAAAAGTAATTATTTTATTTACCGGTGTCAAGGATATACAAATTTTCATCGGATTTATTCGTCAATTCATTGGTTATTCCTCCGAAAACTAATAAAATTTGTTTAAACAGTTAACACCAAGAAGCGTTTTAAGAACAATATTAATAATTTGAATGCAGTTAGATGCAACGTTGCCTACCAATTATATTTGTTCCAAAGTTTACTTGAGTATGACCACTTCGTGGCGAAGGTACTTCACCCGAAGTAACGAAGGCAAGAACGTTAAGAGTATCTAATTAATTTTATCACAAAGGAAAGGAAAGAAAAAACAAATTTAATTCGACAAAAAAAAAAAAAAAAAAAAATTAACAAGTTTAGAGAAATCTTCACTCACTAAATTCTACGGTAAAAACTTCGTTTCTAAGTTTTCCCCTAGCGATTCCACCAAACAAAAAAAGTTCATTACTTATGGCATTTTGACTTGCAGAATGACCATAACGAGGAAATGGATTAGAAATTGAGAGTTTCCTTTGGGACCAAGGATATAAAGTTCCCGTTTGTTTGCGTTTTGGGAAACTCATTTTTTTTTAAAAAATAAAACGACTTCTTTTTACATTCATTCAATAATTTCAATAAGATTTTAAAGAAAAAAATGAAAAATTTTTCGACTACACAAATTTATGACGTATTTATGCGTTTGTGTGCAGAAAAATTTTTTTTTTTTTTTTGAATTGAGAAAATGCAAATGAATTGAAGATAAATAAGAATGAGACGAGATTAATTTTTTATTTTATTATTTTATTGCTTTTTATAACTTTTAGTAAATTCGTAATTGCACCATTTTTAGTTAAAAATCGGCACACATATGGGATTATCAAAGAGTTACAATGTAATAAATCAAGTAAAATAGATTTATTACCAAGACACAAAATTTTTTATGCTTGCACAAAAGGACTAAAAGGACTAAAATTCTTGTACACATCGGTTGAGTAACCTTGGTTGTTTTACTTTTTATGGGTCAAAAGGAGATCTGATTTGCGACAGCAAAAAAAATAACATTACCTTATATAAATAGTACATAATAGAAAACTGATACGCCTTAATTAATCTAAAAGAAAAAATTAGTATATTAAATTTTCGTGAGGAAATTGGGTAAATAAAAATGCATGCAATTCGATCGTTCGATTTAAATTTATGCTTTTTTTCAAGATAGTTCTCCTAATTAATGCTATGCAAAATGAGAAATAGTATATTTTACACGTGAAACTACCAAACCTAAAAATTCAAGTTGACATGCGAAATCATGGAGTTAATATGAAATGAAAAATATAAAAAGCACAAATTAAAATGGATTAAACCAACATTTCTAATTACCTTGTAGAACACACATTGTTCCCTATTTTGGATGAACATGAAATGAAAAAAGGAAATAGTTTGGAAAATCGTTGAAAGAAAAATTTTTTTTTTTTTATGTTCATTATGTTATTTTATATTAATTATATATATTTAATTATACGTTATTAGAATAAAATACGTATTTTACAAAAGATATAAAACTACAATATTAAAAAAATATCAGCCGATTAAACTTATAGTGGATGCTAACTTGCAAAGTAATGAATTATTTAGATATTTATTCGTGGCAACATGCGCAACTTGAATCTTTTTCTTTGTTCTCGTCTACATCAATTGTATCTCGAGTTTCAACAATTGTCAATGAATTGATTTTTATATTTTTTTCTTTTTCTTCTTCACCTGATGAGAATTTAACATTATCTTTATTTTCAGTTGATTCTTTACTTTCTTTAGAGCAGCATGAACTTTGATTTGTCTTGTCGTCTCCACAATATTTCTCCGTCGTTTCATTATAATCAACTTCGTTAGCGCTGCGAGAAGTTTTACAAACTTTATTGTCAGAACAACAATCATGCTTCCTTTCTTGGTTATCTTCTTGGTTACCTTCTTGATTAGTTAAAGTATTTTTGCTTACAGAATTTGTAGACTTACGAAAATTTGCCCTATCAACCTTGGTGAAACTAGTCAACTTTTCAACTATGATTGTAATTCCGCTCCTTTCCCTCTTTCCATCATTATTTGATAAAGATGTTGCAGAATTCACAGAACATCTATTTTCCTTTTCATTTTCTTTCTCACAACATTTCTTTTCAATTGCATCATGTTTACAACATCCTCCACTAAAGTTTTTACTTCTTGCCCACATGATCATATCAACCCCTTCCTTAGCAAACAAAATACCAAGGATGATAGCAGCAGTAGAATCTATCCACCAGCCCTTTTTCCATATCATAAAAAGTATGCTTCCAAGGAATAATACTAACGTAATTTTAATACAAGCCAAAGAACATTGAGCTTCAGAAGCCATCGTAGAAGAATTTAACTTTTTAGCAAGATATTTTTTAGATAACCAAAGAAATCCCATAAATGATAATGATACACTAGAAATAATTAACCCTGCTATTGTTGTTTCGGGGTTCCTTCTTTGTACTAAAGCAACAATTGCATCCGAAATTGTAGCAATTGATAACAAAAGAAATAACAATCCAATTCCCATTGTAGCTTTTCTCTCTTTTCCTAAATTTTCTTCTAAAATTTGAACTGCTTTCTCTTCATCAGGTTTTGATTCAGTTAAAAATCTCCATAGTACTAAACCTGCCGAGGTAACTTCAATGAATGAATCAACCCCAAAAAATATTAAACTAACCGAGTCACCTTCATTTCCAAAAAATATCGAAACTACTCCTTCAATGATATTCCATAGAATTGTAAAAATACAAATAATTATTGCATATTTGATAAGTTGTGAACGAGGAATTGTTTTTTGTTTTGAAAATTTCGGAAGTAATTTCATTATTTAAAAAAAAAAAAAATTCTTGAGGTTGAGAAAGAAAAATACAATTATAATCTTTTTGTAACGTTTATCTAAGGGGTCATTTTTTTGATAATCTATTTCAGTGAGGGAAAAGTCACCGGACACCTTAAAATAGAAATGATCATCCAAAAATTACTGTGTGGCATTCGATAGAATAAAATTAACAAAAATTAAAATAATTTATTCATCGCACCGTGCGATATCATCACCCTCGTCACCCGTGTCACGCCCCCTCCTTTCTTTCATTTCTCATCTATGTATATTCTGGGGATTGGGAAATTTTTCAGTTGTAAAAAATCCATTCTTCACGCCCTACGTTAAATATCACATGATTTAATTTGGCAGGAATTATATAATTTTTCCTAGATGAGATGCATCGCACGGTGCGATGAATAAATTTACTCATAAAAATTATATATAATGTATTTTATCCAAATTTCGTGTCTTATAATGAAATCAAATTGTTTAATAATAATATAAAATAAATATTATATAAATAGATATAAGAAAGATTGCTTATTTAAACTTTAGTTTTAAATTTCACCTATTTTTATAAGTTTTGATATAATTTTATCTTTTTCTAAGTTTAAAGATTATAATTTTGCTAAATTTTACTTTTATTATTTAAATAATTTATAAAAACCTAATAATTTAACTATAAGAATTGATTTTAATAAACAATAATAGAAAATAATAGAATAAATTAAGTAAAATTAAAGAAAAATAGGATTTTAATTATAAATCATTAATAATTTATATTTTTAAATTAATTAAGTTTTTTTCTTTTTAAAATACATCTCATTATATAAATATTTATCATAAATCTATGTGATATATTATTAAAAATCAAATAGTTTGCAATTTTATTAATTTTATTTTTTAAAATAAAACTTATTTCTATTTAAAATAAATCTGTCTATGCATTATATTATTAAAAGATTAAAAAAATTTTTTAAAATAATCAAAATTTATTCTTAAAATAAATTTTAATTATGTAAAAGTATATTCCTAATAAGAAAGTAACTGAAAATTCAAAAATCAAAATAATAATTAAAATTTTTAATAATGAGAAAAAAATTATTTTATTAATAAAATCGATTTTGATATTTTAAGTAAACTTATATATTATAATAAATAATATATATCTTAAAAATTTCATGATAATTAAACTTTTATTAAATTTTAAATTCTAAAATTTAATTAAAAAAATTGCATAATTTATGAAAAATTTTGATTAAATAAAACTATTTTAGCTAAAAATTATTTAGTAATTAATTAAATATATTTAATATAATAAAAAAAAATATATTATATTTATTATTGTAGTTATTATAATTAAAGATTTTGACATTTTATTTATTTAATTTTTTAATTAGTTTAGGTTACATTATGATAATTATATTTAAATTTAAAATATTTAACTAATTATCATAAGTATTTTATATATTAATGCTAAAATTTTAGAATATTTCTTTTATTATATCAAATAAATTTACTTAATTATTAAAATAATCTTTAAGCTAAAAAAATTTGCAATTTTATTATAGCTATAAATCTTTACAAAATATAAAATTTTTTAATTAAATTTTAGAATTTAAAATTTAATAAAAATCAATTATTAAAAAATTTTCAAAATATATACACTCCCTACCCAAAAGTATTAGACCACCCCGTGAATTGCAGATCTGCAGTAATTATATAAGATTTGCGTAACTTAGAAAATATTTATTGAAATTTGATTATTGAAATGATCATCATCATCTCTTTTTTCCTCCTTTTCGCGCAATTTTTTCTTTAAACATTCTTTAATATGCCCAAAAAGAAAGAGCTTACAATTATTGAACGTGGAATCATTATTGGTTTACATAAAGCAGGTGAATCTGAGAGAGCTATATCTAAAAAAACAGGTCACTCAAAGACAGCTATCCATCATATAATTACAAAGTTCAATGAAACGGGTCTTCTTATCAATGTTCCTAGAAGTGGACGACCTAAAAAACTGACAAAACGGGACAAACAGCATTTAAAGCTTATTATTAATAAAGAAAGGCGAAAACCAGCACAAAAAATACAAAAAATTTTTGTAAATTCAACTGGAAATGAAGTGAGTAAGAATACTATATGACGTGCACTTTATGAAATGGGGTATCATAACCGAATTGCTCTTAGAAAACCTTATATTAGTGAGTCAAATAGACGTTTCTGATTAAAGTGGTCTTGCAAAAGACAATTATGGACAATTAATGATTGGAAAAATGTTATTTGGAGTGATGAGTCTAGATTCACACTATTTCAAAATGATGGAAAAATTCATGTTTGGCGTCTACCAAAGGAGAAGTATGATGTTAATTGTTTAGTTCCTACAGTGAAGTATGGTGAAGGTGGTATAATGATGTGGGGATGTTTTTCATGGCATAAAATGGGTCCTTTAGTAAGAATTGATGGGTGAATTAACAGTAAAAGATACATAGAAGAAATTCTTAGCTATCATTTAATACCATTTTTAGAAGAATTTGAAGAAGAATATGGGAAGTATTTTTTTCAGCAAGATAATAAAAGTATTCATATTAGTAGGAAAACACGAGATTTCATTGAAGAAAATGCAATAATTCTTTTACCATGGTCAGGACAAAGTCCAGACCTCAATCCCATTGAGCACATTTGGGATAAGCTTGAATGTAATATCTGATCAAGAAAAGAAAATCCTAAAAATATAGCTGAATTAGAAGCATTTTTACAGGAATCATGGACACAAATTTCTATT